ACTTAATGATGGAGTTTGAGTTATGCCTGGTGTCACAATCATGGGTAAATAAGGAGTAGAGGACAGGGCTAAAGCACACAGCCTTGGGGGGCTCCAGTGTTTAGAGTCAGTTGTGTGATATACTGTAGCTGGGCTGCTCTTTATCGTCTGTAATGGTGTGTTTTCCACTCCACATATTCTGGGTTGCAACCGTGATAATACGACTCTAATTCAACTCTATAGTTGTAATTAGCTATTTTGATGGCTTTTCTGAGGTCATATCTGGATTTTTTATACCTTTCCATGTCACCAGAGTTAAAAGCAGCTGTCCTAGCTTTCAGCTTGGTGCATATTTCACCATTTACCCACAGTTTTTTATTTGGGTGTATGCAAAGAGTAATCCTGGGGACCTATTGTGGCCCGTAACATAATGTAGATGGTACATAATGTAGATCGGCAGTTTCACAGATCTACCAGTCAGTGGTGGCAAAACAGTGACGTAATATAGAATCCGATTCATTCAACCAACACCGAATAGTTCTTATCGCGGGCCTCTCCTGTTTAAGCTTCTGCTTGTGGGCGGGAAGTAACAGAATAGAAATGTGATCAGATTTGCCAAAAGGTCGGGGGAGGGCTTTGTAACCATCCCAGAAGGGAGTAAAAACATTACCCAGCGTGTTTGTTCTGCGTGTCGGGCAGTTTATAGCTGATGTAAATTAGGCATTGTTTTCTTCAAGTTCGCGCCATTGAAATCACCCGCTATAATAAATGCCCCCTTGAGGTGTGAGTTCTCATGTCTGTTTAGAAGTCAGTGTAATTCATCCAATGCCTTTGTGATATTTGCCTGTGGCGGAATATACATCGCTGTGAGAACTAACAATGTACAGTATACTCCCACGGTAGATAGAAATTATTGTCAGATGTCCAAGATGCGGAGAGCACGATGCTGAAATAATCTCCTCCTGGAGTTGTTTTCCATGAAGCACACCGCTCCGCCCTTGCTTTTACCCGAATCCATTCTTCTGTCCTGACTTCTGACTGTCAGAACTTCAATCTGAGCATGCATCCATTTTATGTATCCTCTTTTACATCCAAGACCTAATCTAAAAAAATATTGTTTTTCTTAGTTCAAGTAGTGAAACAATTTCTCACTAGGTAGGGGGTAGTGTGGTTGCTGGTGCAGAACAACTGCCCAGTGTCACCCAGGTGCCCACTGTCAACTGAATCAAATTACATGACTAAAGATATACTGTATATGAAAGGAATTATAATTATTACATTGTTACAAAATATAGTTGCAATGGCTTCTATCATATGCATTTTTCAAAATACACAGTTACCTACCTGCTCCTTTGTCTTCTTGGGTCCTTTTTGACTCTACTCTTTCTTATCTCTCTTGCAGATTTTCAGGACCTCTCCTGAGGACAGATTTCTCCTGTATGAAACTTCTAATTCATTGATTCCAATTTCTCTAGGGCTACTCTTGTGTGTCAGGGCCACCTGTGATAAACTCTTGTGTGTCAGGGCCACCTGTGATAAACCTATGTAAAGAATCAAGGCATTGTGAATAAAATCAGAAGAGCCAGTCTATTCCACTTTGTTGACGCCTTTTTGCCAATTCAGTCATTCACTGACGTTTTCCACAGACCATTTGTTTTATTACAGGACTAATAATTATAGTCCATTTATTAAATGAATAGGTCTGCTTATTAAACTACTGGGCTGGCACCTTATCTAAAGCAACTTACATTTGTACAATTTTACGTCTTGTTAAGTTGTTAACTTACTCTGATCTTTCCTCAACTCCCATATCTCTATTAATTAATGTTCCTAATACACTTCCAGGCACTTCCCCGATTTACTGCACGTTAAACTAAAACCTTTGTAATTTAAAAGATAAAACACATTAACTGTATATAAAAGTGATGTATACATTACCTTCCTCAAATAAATACTTATGATTCTGTTTTGTTTTTTGTGCCAGTGTAACAATTTGTTCTAATGCATTCCTCATTGTTTCTTGATGCCTGTAATACACCTTTTTAGTATTTACTGTAATAGCATTTTACAGTAATCTGAATTACTCTAAAAATACAATTGATGCCCATTTAACTTTTAATTGATGTTAAATACTGTAAGTGATCATTATTATGGGACTGAGGTGTCACAGAAAACCAAAACAAGCCTGTGCAGTAGTCACAGAGACATTAAAAGTGGATAGTCATTTAATATGTGTCAGGTCTGATACAGAAAGAGGAAGCTTTTTCTTCTGGAAGAGCAAAATACAATTTATTTTATGCTCATGATGCCATTATTCTTAAGAAATCAATTTTCCCGTCTTCTTCCTCAAAAAAGCTATATTTAGCACACCGCTGCAAAGACAGATAAGATCATCTAAAAAGAAGCTCAAAATAACCTACTTCTAGTTTGAACTCAAAAATAGCTTCAAAGCATTCAAAGCAATGCAAAGCATTCATAAACAAACAGCAATCAAAAGTAACATGGGGAATTCAATCCAACACATTACTTCACATAACATTGTTATTCTCCATAATGCAATAGTATTATTATTATTATTATTATTATTATTATTATTATTATTATTATTTATCCTGCACAGATGCTCAAATGTGCCGAAAGCATCTTTAGTCTCAAAAGGAACCAGAAACCTAGCAAAATGAAGTCTATTTTTTCAATAGGTGAACATTTTTCATTGATACATGTATTTTAGGATATCATAGATGATTTTGAAAAAGATAAAATAAGTTTCCCTTGATTAAATCAATTTAGTCTGCAATACAAAATATGGATAACTAAAGCATTTAGGCTTGAAATGGAACAGTATAGACCTTTGCACTGTTATCTACCTCTGATTTAAACCAACAAATCTATCTTTGTAACTATTGTCTGGATGTGTAAATGGGCAAATCCCCTAGTTTTTACTGGGAGAAAATCTGTAGGAAAGCGTCAGCCATTCTTTTGGTATTCTTCTTCAGAGGGACTCAAGCCTGTTCTCCTGTCATTCTGCTCTGCTCACAAATACCCAAGGTGCTCATTTTAATCTGCACAGAGTAACAGTTATTTCCCATTATTCCTATCATTACTATCATTCCTATCCCATTATTCTTATCATAATTTATTAAAGACAGTTATTAAAAATGTATTAATCTCTGATCTGTCAATCAGTTCTCTCATAATAATGCTATACTGCAGCTGTGAAATGTTACAGATCCTACTCTCTGGCTGCGCACACACACTGGCAGACCCATCTTCCCTATTACCTTTGCAAATGGTACATCATGTTGTAAAAGTTCAACTAACTGAGAATAGATTCTCACTTCCTCTTTACAAAACGTTAGACTTCTCCTTCAGTCCCCTGGTCGTTAATTCATTTGTAGATGGAGTTATCTTGACCTACAGTATAACCATGATCTTTGGCCAACCTGCAAACTTGCTTTTTGTAGGGTTCCACTTGAGACTGAACACATCTCTACCAAAAAGAGACCAACATGGATCGAAAACCTGATTTTGGGTCCCTTGCAGATTGGGAACCATGACTTTTGTGTCATGAGCCCCCAGTGTAAGAAGCCCAGGGGATCTATATCAGTTCAGCAAGAGATTGTTGGAATGAAGAATAGTAACACATACACAACTGTAAGATCTCTGCCCTTTCTGGCACTCCTTTCACATGCATTCAGTCAGTGTTCGCCAGACTGAAGGGAATCACAGATCCCGCTTGCTGGAACAGAAACACAAAACAGTGGACAGTGGATCAAGAGGCAATTCATAATGCAAAGGGCTGTGGGAACATCAAACAAGCTACCCAGCCATGTTATTGAAGTCTATACCCTCGCTTCCTATAAAAAACACCTGGATGAGATCCTTGGATCAATTAACTAAATTTCCAATGGCCCACTCTTTTTTGTAACATTTCTTATGTTCTTACGTCACTGAAGAAAGGAACGTAGTCAAATGCTGACACTGAACTGACATCATCATCTCAAAAGTATCAGAAATCTTGTTTGTGATTGACAGATTATATGTACTTTTGGACAGCAGGTGAGCACTAAGCTTAATTCTTTGCTTCCTTCTGACCATCAGTTCAGTGAAGGTGTCTGTGTTGCACTGAGAAATGGTGAGTGAAAGGTCGGGCTTGCATGCAAATCTACTAAATTCAAATTAACAAATATTAAATCCATCCATCCATTTTCTAACACTTTAACCTGTTCACTACTGACCAAATACAGACACAGATATGCACATACTCACACAAAGGCCAGCTTTCCCCGAAGCCAATTAGCCACCCAGTATGATTTTGCACTCTGGAAGGAAACCAAAACATCCAGAGGAAACCCTTGAGAATAAAGGAGCATACAAACTCCACACAGATAGCACCCCAGGAACTGACCCAGGGCCCCAGCCCTGGAAGGCAGCAATGCTGACCACTGCATTACTGTGCCACCAAATATTATACCATTAATCTGAATAACAATATTTAATTGACTCAGAGTGATGGGTAACTGGAGGAACTATGGTCAGTGGAATACACTGGGATACACTGTAAGTCACACATCCTTTTCTCCACCACCCTGCTGGACACAGCCTGAGGCGCCAGAACTGCTGACAAACATTCTTTTTTTTTTGTTACGGAGCAAAATACGGACATATTTTCTATGTCAGTGTGCACAGAGTCCTCTGTAAGAGAACAACCGGTGGAACCGAAGGACAGAACAGGGGTGCCCTGCTGCCATTTTCCCCACTTTTCCAACACTGCCCCCTCCTGGCAGGCATTCTCTGAAATATTCAAAACACCGGTTATGTACTGTATGTCTATATTTCTCTGTCACTTGTCACATAATACATTATTATTATCACTGATAACGTATTATTATCATCATCATCATCATCTTTTGTTTTTGTTATAAATTCAGTACCTTGTTGCCAGAATACTCAGGAATATTTCCCCTTCACACACTGAGAGTGGCTCGGAGACACTGCTGTGCTGTACATCACGCTCTCACCTGTCCACGCTGATGACGCAGAGAGTCATGATGGAAGCTGTGCAGCACATGACGTCCATGGCGATGAACACGTTGCAGAAGAAGGTTCCGAAGAGCCACTTCCCGCCCACCAGGTCTGTGATGATGACGAAGGGCATGACCGCCAGGGCAACCGACAGGTCTGCAGCGGCCAGCGACACCACCAGGTAGTTGGAGGGCTGCCGGAGCTTCTTCACGATGCAGACCGATATGATGACCAGAGAGTTTCCGCTGATGGTGGTGAGGGTGATGATGGACAACACGATCCCGATAATCACCTTCTCCACATCCCCGTACAGCAGGACGTCACCACTGAGCTCAGTGGAATTAGTCCCGTTTCCCAAGCCTGTCAGCCGCTCCTGGACAGTGGGTTTGAAGGCGACGGCGGAAGGGCCATCGGTCACGAGCGCGGTGGGCTTCAGACCCTGCCAGGGCGCCAGGTCCTGCTCTTCTCCCAGGGACAGCTGGCTGTTGAGGATAAGAGTGGGGCTGTCGTGCATCACCATCCTGCCCCGTGTGCTGCGGGCTGCGTTAGTCCAGCTGGGCAACAGTCCACATGGTCAGTGAGCACAAATCGTCAGTCTGCATGCATTCCGCAGGCCCCTGGTCATTATTAACTCCGGTGAATGATGAGAATTTAAAGAGCAGGAAGTGCGGCCATATTAAGGATAAAACATTAATTCCCATTTTCGTTGCAATACACTGGGGAGTAAGGCTCCGGGGAGTGAGCATGAGGCTCTGGGGAAAATGTCTGTACCAGCATTATCCAAGTCAAAGTCCTAGAAGTGTTAGTGCAGTGAGTCCATTAAATTGTTTACCTCTGGTTAAAAGTCGCAGGATCTTGCACACGTAGTTTTTTTTTTCAACTTAAACAACTAATAGCTTATTCCTCTCACTTATTCGTCCACCTTGAGGGTTACAGATGTCGCCAGACCTTCCCGAAGTCGGAGCGATTGTGGTCGCGCGTTTCACAGTGCAAGTCCACCTCTCTGCCCGGACCCGCTCGCTCGCAGTTCCGCTCTCCAGTCTTAATGCACATCAGAAATATTGTTCATCAGCCGTCTAAATAAAAAAAAATACCAAAACCTTTTACACTTTAAGATGTTTCTGAACAACAAATAAAGTATATGGTTTGTATTTCATTTTCAACTCAAGAAAATTGTCAATATTTTCATATAATTTCAATATTTTCTTGCGTTTTATTAAAGTCGTTTTTGAATGTATGTATACAGATTAGTAAGGCTTGAATGTACAATACAATATTCAAACCATTTTCTGGGTGTGATTTATTTTGTCACGTGTGTGATTGCTATGATTCATGTTAATCCGGTTACTTTCTGAGTAAACGCCTTTCGAAGCGTTTAATTTGCAATTATTAACAAGCACACAAGAAAATTAATGAAAACACTCGACTCTGAGAAAAAACAGGTTCAAATAATTAAGAGCTCAAATAATCTGAGTGGTGATAAGAGAAAAATACAATGATAATTAGCATGAAGCTTTGAGTGTGCGGTCTGTCCTCCTCGCTGTTCGCTTACTCTTAGTTTTTATCCCAACTCTGCGCTAAGATTTACAAGTTGTGTTGGTTCTAGCACTTACCAGGTACTGTATAAGACGACTGTAGGTAAGATTCTGAAATCCCTGCACGTCTTCTTCATTTTACCACTTTGTCCATGAAGTTATGTACGTAGCGATGACCCCTTTGAAATACACGTGTTAATGTTGTTATCATTTTAAAATCCAATGTAGTTTTCAAGACCCAGTTCTTGCGTTGTATCCGTCGTCCTTTTGCTTACCAAGTGTGCTCAGCATTACTGAAACTGCTCTGTGCTGTCGCGTCTCGACCTCAAGCGATTCCCAGTTAGAAGCGCATGTTTACTCTTAGACGCGCGCTCTGAGTCTGTTCCATTTTCCTGAGGGGTATCGTGGACAGTACAAGCGACTCTCATGCTCTGCTCCCCGTCCTCGGACTATTCATCACTTTATCATTATTTTTTTAGGTGATTATGCACGTTTTAAGATTTAACCTAAAAAAGATATTTGTTTACAAACTGAAACGATGGAATCTATATTTTCGGATCATAAAATGACCAACACAATGAGTGGTTTTCTAATGCCATGATATTTCCCGCTGGTGATTTTAAAGCACGCACACACACATTGCCCCTCTTGGAACACAAAGTGCGTGGTTTTCAACACACCCACATTTTATCGCGGTTGTTTCATTCCAGAATTCCCGTGGCTTCAGAAAGCGTCATTTTCTAGAACAATCTCGGTTTATAATCAACCGCGTCAGCCATTGCATATACTGTAGCTCGCGCAGGATTCTACTTTTGAATCCAAACCTTCATTCATCCAAACAATGTTAGTGACACTGAGCACAATGACGCTGTGTGAGATATGCAATAATTCACTCGCTTTTTCCCCTAGTGGCAATAACAGAATTTAAGTGCATTGTTGCAGTCAAAAAAGTATTTTATGTGCATCTCTTAATTACGTAATAATTATCACATGTTCAGAAGATAATTATCTCACATGTACATGAAAATTATATCGTAATAACGACATATTTTAAGATATACACATATAGATATACACATATACCGTTTTTTGTTCTCGATGGCAGCAATGCGCTTCCGTAATACACAACTACAACACGCCAATTTCAACAACTAAAATAGCAATAAACCCAATTAGTACAGTGTGACCGCATAGCAGCACACTCGGTATTTCTAAACACATAACTCCATATTCCAGCGATGCTGTTTTTTCGCCTTCGTAAACGTGGAATATAGTTTATATGATAGAAAGATCAATCTAGAGACGTCCTGGTTAGTCGGAACAACAGCACGTGAAAGTGGACAACTGTGCTCAGTCGTCTGCTGTCGTCGTGATGTATGTAAAAACTCTGCGTTCATTTCAGGAATGTTTCCGTTTGTTGTGATTATCAACACAAATGTGTTTCTTAAAAAGTTGATAGTGGAATAACTTTATTTAATCACGAATCTGTGAGATTACGAATATAGGGTTACCATATTTTTTTTAAAAGAGGACGGGGGGAGGGGGGGATTATCGACATTTGACACATGCCTCCAAAGTAATGAATCTTTATTACTTTTTCTAATAACAAAAATCAATTTAAACTCTTTAGTTTTTATTAAACTTCTTAGTAAACTTTTAAACAGGTGCAGGGTTGCTATTTCTCTTCTATAATGGCAAACAAGGAAAAAATAAAAATATACAGTAGCCCTATTTTAAATAACGGTGTTTTTCCATTTTAACACAACAAAGTCAACATCTGATGAAATATTGAAGACGTAATAATTTAGGAGAAGTCCTCAGTGGTTGCAAAAATGATCAATTTAAACGAAACATTTTGAAATATAATGAAACAAGTTAAACATTGCTATTTGTCATGGCCATAAAAACAGCCACACGCACACAAAAACCCTTTTCAAGCTACGCAGCGTGTAAATTCAAAACATCTACCGATAACGCGTGGAACGAACGAAAATCCGTAAATCTATGTTTGTTTACAGTCTGAGTAACGAGCAAAACAAAATCCCGGACAATTTTTGGAATTTTTATAAGTCGGACCGATATTTAAGGTCTCAAAAAGAGGATGTCCGGTCACCCTAATTTAGAATCGATTATTCTAGAACAGAAAAGATTATTCGAACTTTTTTTTCCCACTATTAATTGATATCCCTTAGTTTTAGAGTTACTGTACTGTATATAATTCAGGATACAATTTTTATGGATAAAGTCTGAAAAGTTTAATGAGTTATACGCTGTCACTGAAGTGTTAACTCGATGCCCCCAGCATTGTTCTCGGACGTTCGCCAGGCCTTTAAAGATCCCTGTGTCTGGAGAGCGTGCGGCAAGACTCGGGATCTGAAACTCGGTCAGGGCATGAGCAAGTGTGGCACAGACTACATCGATAAAAGGACGAAACCAGTTAAAATGACAGCAAGAAGCGATGACATTATTAAACTATAGATATGTGGCTGATTAAATTTCCCCCCCTGTTCGCATGTCGGAACTTCCGTTAGAAGTCTTAAGCACCTTTTGCAGATTTGTGAGAACTGTCCGCGGTGCTGAACCATTTCATTCTGGGTAACTCGACTGTCAAAGCAGAAAACCACGGAGACACGAAAAGAATGACCGTCTACAACCTGGTTATAGCACCTGAGCTCCTAGGTAGCTGAACTTCTGTAATTGTTTTCTTAACTATAGAACACAGAGGTGGAAACTTTACGGGATTCTTTTTATATCTGAAAACAGGAGGCACTTATTTTTCCAAAGAGTTGTGGAGGTATATGGAACACGCCAGATAAGGCCCCGTTAAAAGTTATTTTCCAGTCTTAAATTTTTAATAAAGCACTGTTCTTAATTCTCCTATTTTGGAATCATATGTGAACCTGAATAGGTTGTTAACTAAAGCAAAGTCTTGATCATTAATATTACTTAGGAAGTGCAGTGGTCCTAGCACTGACCTCTGGTACTCCATTAATTAATCCATCCAATATGATTATTTACAGCTTTTCTGTACTATTTCTATTCATTAAGCATTTCCTTATCCAAAAACACACATTTTCTTGAATGCCTCCAGCCTACAACTTGAGAATTAATCTTCTATGAGGAACTTTTTCAAAAGGCTTAATAAAGTCACTTGATCAAATAATTCCAATAAATTAGATGAGAAAGAACCATTTTTTTCTAAATCCATGCTGACTATCACTATGTGTCATACTGTGTTAAAACAGAGAACATAATGATAAAGAAGCAAACCAAGTTATTTAACCCTGCAAGATAATTATTTTTTCCTCATTTTGTTGACTAGAAATATCCTACAAGATTCATATTTTAGTTATTACTAATGTTTTGTGGGAATCAGCAGTGTTATTTTCATGAAAATCTTCTGCTTAGCTATCAACAAATCATCCAGGAGCCAAAGAAATAAAAGTATCCCCTTTAATCAGTAAAATATATTTCTTGTGAAAACCTCTGTAAATGTTTTAAAAGTGGTGTCACCCCCACAAGTTGGATCCTGAGGTGTGAAAAGAGAAGAATCCAAGGTGAGGGGGTGCTCTGTGTTCACCTGCTACACTAATAGATTTGCAGTGGAGCTCAGCTGTTTCCTGTATCTCTTGTGCAGACCAAATAACTGAATGATAACAATAAATGCATTTACTGTATGTTGCACTTTAAAGAAGAAGAAAAAAAGTGAATTCCCTACATTCATATAGTGTTTGTCACCTCAAGGGGTCTTAATGTGCTTCACATATAGAAAGGTATGCGTTCTTCTGCCACAGAAGCACAGCTCCCACCTGGCTGAAACATAGGAGACATTCTGCACCGGCAGCCCCACTGAGCAGCAGTGAAACTGCCATGTGTCCCAGGCTGACTACGTAGTCATGACTACAGTTTAATGTCTAAGCCTCAGGATCTGCTAACACCATACTTGTCACGACTATAGTCCCCCCTCCTTAAGGGTGCTCCAGCCCTTTCACTAAAGACTTCATTCTCTGCACCTGTTTCCCATTCCCTGCCCACCTTAAAAGCCAGGCGCTGACGCTCTTCCGGGCTCTGCATCTGATTTCCGTATCGTGCGAGTCCGGGACCTGGAAGCGCCTGGTCCCGTTAAGGTTTTAACCCCTGTTCCTGTTCCTTGTCCCCTGTCCGCCGGTTCCGACCCGGCCTTCGTGGTTTTAACGTCGTGTTTTGATGGATCTCCTGGCTATGGACTTACCTTCGTGTTTTGGATACTCTATGGATTACTCTTTGGGATTGTTCGCCTCGGCCACACCTCCCCCGTGCACCAGCGCACCTTGGACACGCCCCCCTGTCTTCAGCCCCGTTTTCCTGCATGACGTTTCCCTAGTGTTTCCCCACTTCGTCGGACTGTGTCGTCCGCATAGGGTCCGGAAAGAACTGTTCGTTACAATACTGGCTCAGTGGTCTGACAATTATGGTCCAGAAAGAAGAGAACTACCTGCTTTACCACCAGCACACTTACTTTACTCACAGCAGCCACCTGGTATGAATTCTGGAGTTGCTATTAGGGGTTTAACTGATTTGCATTTTAACTTATTTGAGAGTGATTCCTGAAAAGCAAGACCTGAACCACAGCTTCTGATTTTCAGTTTTTTTTTTATTTGTGCTAAAAGGTTATTAGTTTATCTAATTAAACAATCTTTCAGAACCCTAACACCTTCATGACTACAGATCCGTGGGAATGGACGGCCACTGGTTTACTTCTGTCCTGAGAGAACTGCCTTTTAGTGCCCCAGCAGGACTGACACTTTAAATACTTAGACATAATTTATCACCAGAACAATAAAATGCATGTGATAATGTGGCCCTCAAAGACAAGATCTGTTAATCCCTTTTATTAGATGACCGAAATAACATTTGACTGACTAAATAAATTGATTTGGAATCTCTTCATTCCAAAAGACTTAGGTTTGTACATATAAAATTATTACCTTGTGTTTAGTTTTCGACTCCTCTTTCCAAAGGGAGAAATAAACTGATTTTGTGACATAGAAATTAATATTTTAATTTAATAGATTAATTAGCCTCTCGTGAGATTTATGGTGATACTTTTCAATTTCTTAGGGATGCTTTCACACTAAAACTGGAAACATGGTGTTTCAAAGCCTGAGAGTGGTGATTAGTTGTGAAGTGAAAACATAGAGGCTCTTGAGAATCTTGATGTAGGAGAGAGAGGAGGCAGAAAATAAGTCTGTCTACATTTTTCAAATTTTAATGAATATTATTGCCAGAAATACCTATTCTATTGCATTGACTACTTAAATTAACATCAAGCAAACTAGGGGGACTCTGCCATCTAATGGAAAAGTATATTCTCTGCCTCTTGCTCAGAGCTTCATTTTTATTGAATTTAAAAAAATACTGTGGGAATCAAACAATGAATATTTTATTTTGTAAGACAAAATGGTTCTTTGGGAAGCTTGTTAAATTCAAAACAATCCAATCCACGTTCATTGGTAGATTCAACATCTTATATATTTGTTTCTTACAAATATCATCCACAGTTTATCTGATTCTGCTTTCCTGTGTTAATCTCCTTCCTTTCTTTCCTGCCCTTGTGCGCTGATTCAATGGAGTAGGTCAAGGAGCTCCATGTTTCACAGATTGAAATGGGATGATCAATGCACATTTCAAGACACATTTCTGCTGAGATGGATGCAAGGACAAGGGCCACTCACAAAGCCAGTGCTTTAGCACTGCTACAAAAACATATTGATATTGAACAAACAGAGTGCTGAACACAAACACAAAGAGTGTGATGCAGCTAGTCAGCATACTGAC